GAGAAGTCAGGGTGTGTCCTTAGTCCTGCCTGCAGCCCTGCCCAGGACCGGAAAGCCCCTCCCCCACTTTCTGCCTCACCACCACTGACAACAGGGAGCGTTTATTGTGTATTCATTCTTGTTTCCCTGTGTTGACCCCTGCGATCCTCACCGCATCCTTACACCCCTGATCTTTTTTCAGATGAGGAAACTAAGGCCCAGAGAGGTGAGGTCACTGGGACCCAGGCACACAGCTAATGGGAGGTGTAGCTAATGAGTCCAAGCTCACTGACTCCCAGGTCCCCTAAAGCGCACTCCCCTTTACTCACATGTCCTGGGCAGGTGCTCACCTGTAGAAGGCCTCCCGGGCAGGGCTGACGGGCCCAGGCTGGCTGAGGCAGTCCCCAGCCGGGGCAGGCAGGGCGCCATACTGGCGCTGGTAGCCGTGGGCACCCAGAGCCAGGATGGCAACGCCGTCGCGAACTTTCTGGCGCAGGCTAAGGCGCCAGCTCTCGGTGACAACACTGATGAGGCCCACAGGGAAGACGGCGGGGGGCGCGTCAGTGCTGCCCAGTGCCAGGTTGGGCACCAGCCACACGTGCCCAGGTCCCACCAGGCCGGCCTGCGCCGCCTCAGCGAAGAGCACCTCGGCTTCCTCGCGTGAGCAGTACGCCACCAGCACCGGGGCGTCGATCTGGCGCAGCAGGCGCTGGACGCGCGCGCGCGTTCCTCCGGGACCCAGCTCCAGCGTGAGCACGTCCAGCAGCCGCCAGCCCAGGTAGCTGGCGTCGGCGACAGCGCGCACGCCCTCGAGGAAGAGGGCGTGGCCCGGGTGCAAGCTGGTGATCACGGCGAACGCGCTCCAGTCGTACTCCTCCAGCACCTTGAACAGCACCTGCAGCTGCTGCTCCAGGGACACGCCTAACTGTAGGAAGGCGGAGCCCGGCTCCTGGGGGCGGGGAAGAGGCGGGCCCTGAGCGGGGGCGGGGCGAGCGGAGTCCCGCCCGCGTCCCCGCTCCAACTTCGGACCCCTAGGTCAGCCTCCAGACGCCCTTGCGTCGGAAGATGCTGGGGTTCCCAAGAGCCCCCGCCCCACTACACCTTCCTCCCGCCCCCGACGTAGTTTCTAACCCCTGTCGCCCATTAGATGACTTGGAGAGCTTTTTACAGTGAAATACTCTTGCATGGCCCCGACCCGACCAGTGCTGGAGCACAACATCAGCGTCACCTGGGAGCTTGTTGGAAACGCAGATGCTGGGGCGCATCGCACACATACTGGATCAGAATCTCTGGGGATGGGAATCTGTATTTCAACAAGCTCTTCAGGAGATTCTTGAGCCCGCTAGTTTGGGAACTGCTGCCCCAGACTAGCTGAATTGGAATCTCAGAGATGGGACATTGGACTTGAGTGTTTTTCTAAAGCACTGTGAGGATGGAGAACCACTGTTGTGGGAGCTAATGTC